TCCGTGAATTAGTGTCAACTAGCTTATTAGGGTTAAATGACTGTTCTTAGCGTCCAAAAAAAGAAATATCCAAATTGATTATGAAAACCGACACACTAACTAACCCATTAAAACAAGCTCTACTCATTTAATTTCAAACCCCCTCCAAGATTAATGCAAAAGAAAGCATTGCATTAATTGCGCAAAAAATGATACAAATAGTAATTAATCAAATCAGCTCCCTTAATTACAGCCAGCGATGTAAAACCCTAATGAAAATATAATAAGATTAAATTAGTGAATTATTGATTATATGGTTATAGGAGAAGATCCAGTGCGATGATCTCCACTGACTCGAGGCTGCTCAAATTTAATATATAAGATATTATTGTCTTCGTGCATAATGATTGTATGAGATCAATCTTTACAAAAGTTGATAATTTATTAATAAATCAAAGTTGGTTCATTTATTAATTGAAATGAAAAGAATTAAAGCCTATTATTGCTGTTGGTTTGAATTTTACCAAAACAAGACAATTTCATTCTACAAAAAGAAATAAGTGATTAATTAATTAATTATGCGGTGGAAATTAAATTATAATGATTTTGGCAAAGCCACTGCCAGCTTCCTCCACACATCTGAGGGTGTAATAATGAATGCGAATTTGAAACTGGAGTTGAAAACCGTAATCCTTGAAAAATATATATATTACGTAATCATTTCAATTGCAGAAGAGAGAAAAAAAAAAGGAGGGAACTTTATAAAGTTGGAGTAAATTTATGTTAATGGCGGAGGGGAAGAAAAGAGAGAGAGAGAGAGAGAGGGGAAGAAAAGCAGGTTGAATGGGCCCATGATATGTCCTCTCAAAAGACCCCCAGATGTGATTTTAATCTTTCTTCAATTCTGCATCAACCCAAATTCCTATTTATTTTTTGGGTGTCATTTCATTTAATTTGCTTCCCAAAATTCCTCCTCCATAATCATGTTAGGAGACAGACCAGGAGGTTGTGAAGGCTCGTCATCTCGGTCGGCCACCGTCGATCCACAACAACAGCTGCAGCCTCCGCCACAGCCCACTCAGCCCAGTGCTGTTCCCTTGAGCCGTTACGAGTCGCAGAAGCGACGAGATTGGAACACTTTTGGGCAATATCTAAAAAACCAAACACCCCCAGTGCCGTTATCCCACTGTAACTATAACCATGTTCTTGAATTTCTTCGATACCTGGATCAGTTTGGAAAAACAAGGGTTCACTCACATGGGTGTGTGTTTTTCGGGCAGCCCGACCCGCCTGCTCCCTGCCCTTGCCCATTGAAACAGGCTTGGGGCAGTCTGGATGCCCTGATCGGCCGACTCCGTGCCGCCTACGAGGAGAGTGGAGGTTCCCCAGAGGTGAACCCTTTTGGAAATGGAGCCATTCGGATGTATCTACGAGAGGTGAAGGATTGTCAAGCGAAGGCCAGAGGAATTCCGTACAAGAAGAAGAAGAAGAAGAAGAGGAATCAGATTATTAAGGGCAACGATAATAATGACACCAACGCTGCTTTGACCCAGATGGCTTGATCCTTCCTTCATCCATTTCCATGGTGATTATAATTCTTCCTTCATCCATTTTTTTGTTCTTTTAATGTCATGTCATCATCCATTTGAAATATAATTCGAAAACCCATGCTTTGAATCATGATAGAAATATATATATATATATATTTAAGAAGATGGGTTGATTGGGAAATCATGATCGGATAAGTGCATTAAAAAAAAAAAAAAAAAAAACCCTAATTTGAGGATGCTTCTGAAAACCCTAATTTGCACCATACACCATTATTTAGAAAGGGAAAAAAGAAATGTGAAAACAGATGTTCATCTTTTTACCCTTTCTGATGCCATCAGAAATAGAGCTTTGATTGGTGTGCCATTCATTCACACCCTCTCTCTCTCTCTCATCAAATCAACCAAAACCACACTGTTTATTTAATATTTCAAACTAAAATGTTTACTTTTCAATAGATTTGGCCCTTTTCTGATTCTATTCGATTTTGTGCTCCCCATGCATGGGCATCCATCATCATCATCATTACCATCCAATGTCATGTTCACATGTAATCTAATTACCTACCTAATGCTTTTTTAATTTTATATATGTATCATTAGACTATAGTTGATATTAATTCAGGATAGTTTGATTGCTAATTTCAAATGGATGAAATTTTGAAGTAATTAATGAGGTTTAAGATAGTGTGTTTGATTAATTAGCTCAATAATTTTCAAATTTCAAATCAATTAAAAATTCTATCTTTAGCTCTTCATTTATGTAGCTCAACCTACACTCTTCAGTACTATTTTCCCCATTCATGCAGGAATCCAAAACAAATAATTCAATTTTTTGAAAATTGTGATTTCTTTTACAAATTTCAAAGAAAAAAAAAAAAACCCCAAGTTTTTATTTTGAATTTTATTCGTAAAAGGTAGATAATAATAATAAAAAATATAGATATTTTTAGTTGTGGATTATAATAAACCCTTAATTGCATTATATATAATGCGCCACACTGAGATTTCCGTAAATCATATAGGTTTATAATATTAATACCATTTCTTTTTGCTGTCACATATGCCCCCACAAACTTATACTAAATGAATATTTGTTGTAATTGCAGGAAGTGAAAGGAAGATGGGTGTGAGGAGGAAGGGAAGAAGTGGAGAAGAAGAATTGCAATATTGGTTGTGAAGAAGAGGGTGAATTGTGGTTTTGAATAATCTTATCTTAGATGGCCCTTCTTCTTCATCATTCTACATATTTTACCAATCTCAATCTCAATGTCAATGTCAATGTCAATGTCACACAATATTATGTTACCCATCTTCTTTCCATTAAGGTAAACACAACAATTTTCTGTTTACTGTCTTTTCATTTTCAAACTAGAACATCAAGAATTTATCTTTTCATTGCATATATATATATATAGATTGAGATGCAGCTGCAGCTGGAGGTTGAACATTGTCTCCTAGTCCTTGTCCCATGATAGTTGTTGTATTTTGTTGTTATTTGTTTTTGGGTTCTTGCCCATTAGTTCTGTTTTGACTACTACTCCTTCAATTCAATCGTTTACACAAAAATAGGGGCATAAAACACACTACTTGCTGAATTTGTGGAATGTATTCTGTTTATTTAATGAAAGAAATATACCATTTGGAACGAAAAAAAGATGAAAATGTAAATTGTTTCCCGTTTTTGGAGGCGTGGGGAAGAATAATATCTGTGTGTCCCGACATAGATCCTGTATTTAGAGGAATTGAAGTCGAAGTCCATAACAATCCAAGCTTTGATACCGTTAATGGCGAGGATTTTGAAAGGGTGGGAAGCGACAGGGGGAATGGGGCGTGGGATCGTGTCTTTGAAGAGGCAAGGGGAATTAATTGGCTGACGAGGTTGGAAGTCAGGTATGAAAGTGCATTTTCTGGACAAAAGGAAAATCCACTGGAAAAGGTTGGGAAGTGGGTGTGTGTGTGTGTGTGTATGTCAGCAAAGGAGTTGGTGGGTTAGGCTTCATGAGGGACTTCAAAGTTTTCAACTTGGCAAAGCATGGCTGGTATCTGGTGATAAATCTTATTATGCCCACTGCGTATAGCCAAGCTTTGGTGACATTATTGTCTTTCTAATGTAAGTGCGCTGTCTGTGGGCAGGGGCTTGTGGACTTCGATCAATTACTGGGATTGATGGGGTGTTGGAGATTCATTGTGGGTACACCAAAGAATCTATATAGCCAATTCGGAAGCTGACAGAGGACAGTGGAAGGCGTCGGAGGTAAGGTCTTGGAAGCTGAATGCTGATGAGGGTTGGATCGTTAAGACATTGGAACGGGCGACCATTGCTAGGAGGTTGCAAATACATTCATCGTACTTGGGCGGTTAACTTGCTCCAAGCCAAAGCCTTTCTCGGAAAAAAGATATCACTAGCCCCACAAAAAAGAGTATTATATGTAAGAAAAGATCCTTAGTACCCGATACTAATAATCCTATTAACTCATATTTTATTTAGATATTTATATATTTTAGAAATAAAAATTTAGATATCTTAATGATAAATCTAGAAGATCAAATCTCTCAATAATATGGAGTGGGTGAATATTTCAATATAATATCTACTAGGGTGAACTTAGATCTCAATAATATCTACTAGTGATGATAATATTTACTAGGGTGAACTTGGGCTTGGACTGAGATCTCAATCTACTAGGGTAAACTTGGACTGAATCTCAACAATATCTAGTCCAAGTAACTTGGACTGAGATCTCAACAATATCTAGTCCAAGTAACTTGGACTGAGATCTCAATAATATCTGATGAACATGGACTGAGATCTCAATAATATCTGATGAACATGGACTGAGATCTCAATAATATCTACTAACAGTAAATTTAAATGTTACAAATGGTATATCTACTAGTAGTGAAACATTCATTCTAAAGTGTGAAAACCTCTCCCCCTAACATAAGCTACTAGTGGTGAAACATTTCTTAAAAGTGTGAAAACCTCTCCCCTAACATAAGCGTTTTTAAACATGGAGAAAAAACCCGGAACTAAAAGCACATAGACATCAGAAAGAAAAGTCCAAAAGGGATAATAGCTATAACGGTGGGCAGTTACAATATCAATTTGTGTTTAATTTATCCCAGTTTTAAAATAAGACGAAGGTATTCCCATTATTTTTTTAGAACAGTCAGTGTGGGGGTATGGGGAGGGGGCATTCAATTCAGCACTAATTAGAATGGCAAGTTCTTGAAGACTAAACTATTAGCTTTAAGTATACAGAAATAGAATAAAACAATACAACAATACAACAATAAATGTAGTACAAGTTAATTGAAGCAAAAGGAAGGAATGGTGACTACAATATCACAATATCATTTTAAAAGAAGAAAAAACTGATAAGATTACAGCTAACTCGAATACATTTAGACTAAATAAAGGTCCAGACTCCTTCCAAATTCAGGTTCTTTTTCTATTCAATTAGACAAAAGGAAAAAAAAAAAAAAAAAAAAAAAAAAAAAAAAAAAAAAAAAGAGCTAAGAACAATAAGAATATTGAAATAGGTCTAACAATCTGTCTGCCTTAGCGGTTCACTTATACCCATATCAGCTGCAATAATATGTACTTGGAGAAGGGCGAGACAAAGGTGGAAGCTCTTCCAACACAACGTTGGACTATCAAATGTCGCTAACCATAGATGTCTGCAAAAACAGCCACAAGATGTACGGAAATCAGAAACAAATAACACATTATGCCAAACTAAGAATTCCATGCATACACAAATGTATTGTTAATGAACATTAGAAAGAATGGAACTTGTAATCTCATGAGATATTTTAAACCCTTCTTCTTCACCTTTCTTCTCGTGACCACCCCCCCCACAATGCACTACAGAGTTCATCAAACTGAGTTTGAGGCATCTAGAACTGTTTCCAATTGGGAAAGAAAAAATCATTGAAGTTTGTCGACCCATGAGTGTCCCAAGGGGTTCAGATTCAAGACAATAAGATTGGATATTTTTACGGATTCTACCAGGACAGACAGACAGACAGAACATTGATATCATTTTATCCAACAAGTTTATACAGGAAGATAACTCGCAAGATATTTGGCAGCATTCATAGTTACGAACCCAAATATAAGTTAACAAAAATGAAAAAGAAAGAAGGACGTTAAATTATTCATCAAGCATGCCAATTCCAATTCCTCGTCTTGGATAAGTAACAAATTATATTCAAGCAAAGAAGAATATGCAAGGGACAAGATAACATCAAAAGGGAGTGGGGCCATAATAAGCTAAAAGGCTTACGGTTAGCAAGAACAATGGAACATGCAAGTACTAAGTGATCATCACCCTCCTATAAACTTCTCCTACTTCTTGTGTCCAAGATTTTATAAAAATTTGAAACCGAGCATTACAGACTACTTTCCCTGTGCCAAATCTGTTTTGTCTCTTGTATAACAAAGAATGTTTTCCCTCGGTCTCTAAACATGCTACAATCACTAAAAGCTTCAAATATTAAAATGACTACAGCATCAAACCGCACGTGACTTAACGAGTGAATCACAATACGAATGTTCAGCTAATTTTACACACTAGTACTGTATACAAGTTGCTGCTTACTAGCCTGCAATGTGAACTTTATGATACCAAATGTTCCCATCACTACAATCTTAACCAGTAGAAGAACACTAAAGATGAGAATTGGAAAATCAGCAGTTTGATCTGCTGCCAATTTTGAGTTCCTAGTATAAACAATTGGCAGAAATTTCTCACTTGGAGAAACTAATGGGTTATTTGCACCCTTACCTACCTAATCAACTCCTAAAGTACCAGATTATAATTGGATAAACGAGAAGATCAGGTGAAGGACATGCGCTGTAGAAGGATGAAAGATGGATTGATAGATAAAGACAAGCAGTTCAAAATCTCCTCAATCTAGTTAGCGAAGTTTGTTCGGTTAATTGGTTAACTATGGAAAATTGAGTTCATGGATGATTTCCCCAAATCAACGGTCCACCCCTTGCAAATACTTGAACAGCGAATTAGGGGAAACTAAAAGCAAAAGTAAATAACGAAAAGTCTAACCTCTTCAAAAAAGACCATAACTATTAGACATCATCATTAAAAGGGTATATGTCTTGAAAGGGTTTGATCCTAATGCAAGTGGAAACAACGCTCATAAAACTCCAGAAGTTGACTCTACTATGTCTCGAGAATCACGTAAAGGAAACAAAAAGAGCCCGAGTGAGCTTCGAACAATCGATTCCTTCTAAGCAGACGCCATACTGTGACATTGTAGGAGCAAACGTGCAGAACAACAAATCCTAGCAATCTCATGCATATTCTGAAAGGTTCAAACTCCAAAGGTAGGTATGCAATAAGAAATAAGAAATAAGAAATTGCAGCTCCTTCATCTTAAAATAATACCCATCAAGCGTACCTCTAATCCTTCACACACTAAACCAAACATATTAAAGAAGTAGAAACGAGTAGTGGTGAATGCAATTACATTTGTATTAACACTTAAAAGGAAGTTGATTTTTAAAACAAATGAATGGGAAATTGTACATTTAAGAGAGTAACCCCCAACCCACAAATAAAGAAAGGTAAGAAATTTTGGTTACCATTGGAACCTGATTTCTTCCCACGCTTGATCCTCTCGAGTTGAACTTGAGTTTCCGTGAACATCTGCATTCGCTGCACCTCCAAGTCCTTTGCAAACTGCATTCTCTGCTTCTCTAATTCCACCATCTGCCTTAACTTCTCTGCTTCCACCCTTTCATACATCTTCCCAAATCTCTCTATTGCTTCGGCCAACCTTCTCATACCCCCTCCTTCTCCCTCCTCCTCCTCCTCTATACCCCTCTCCTCCGCATCTGCTTCCGCCTCCTCCTCCTCTTCCTCCTCCTCTTCCTCTTCCTCTTCCTCCTCTGCTTCTGTAGCAGCTGCTGCTGCAGCCATAGCCGAATAATTCCTGCGAAAATGCCCCCCATCCACCACTGCCAATGGCCGCTTCTGCGGAATCGCCACAGAAACCGCATTTGCAGTCCCCGAAGGCGGCGCCTTCCGGTAGGAAAGAGGACGCACCATCGGCGGAGATGGAGACATGGAGGTGGATGGCTTTTTAAGAGAAACATTAGATCCGATAAGAACATCGAGGCGATCGTAAAAGGGCCAAGAGGAGGTTAGGGATCCGTTGGAAGCGGAAACTCTAGCCTTCTCGTTCTTGTACTTCTTCTTAATGGTATCGATTCGGTTTTTGCACTGGACATCAGTACGGTGAGTCTTCTTGGAGTGACCATGGAGGGCATTGACGGCTTCAGCCACATCCTGCCAATCCTTTTGACGGAGATTCCCCCGGTTGAGCTCGACAAAACGGCGACCCCAAAAGTCGATGAGAGTGGAGGTAGCCTCCTGGCTCCAGCAGTCTTCACGAACGGGTATGGGTCGGGAGTGGCCAGACGACGGTGTCAAGGAATCTGTCATGTCGCCCATCGAGAGCGGCAGCGGAAATAGAAATATCGTAGGTGACCGACGATCGGAGATAAGAGATGTAAGGGATTAGATCGGGATGGGGATGGGGCTGGAGGAGAGAGGAAAATGGTAGGGTTAAGCAGGGAAGGGTTAAGGGTTGAGGTTAAAGAAGTTGCGTCGGCGACGAAGTGCCGGACGCGTGAGCCGAATGCGTCGGGGGGAGAGTGAGTAATACGGTACGGTCGAGCCGTTGATGTCGCCATTCCGGGAGAGAGGGGGAGCCGTGTCGCATCAATGGCTTAGGTTGCGTCACGGTTGAGATTGACGGTGAGGTACCGGCTCGGCTCGGGTTGGCTCGGGTTGATGGAATCATATTGCTGAATCGAATTGAATTCAATCATGGACAAAGACATGTAAACCTGCGTCAGTACAACTATTTGGATCTTGGAGGGTTTGGTTTGGTTGGGTTTGGTTGGTTCGGTCCGATGTGGGTGACAAAAGGTGGGGTCACCGTTCTGTAACCCGCACCCCATCCCAACTTCTCGAATTAACCTTCTTCTCCATCGCAGGTCATGAAGTTCCGGTTGGGCCTGGACTGGACCTTCCTTTGCTTTTGACCCAACTCCCACCCGATCCTTATTTTGACCCGACTTTATCAAACTTCCCGCTGAGGACTATTTTTTACCCTTAAAATATAACTACCAAAAACATTTTTGGATAAGAAAATCCATTTTCTTTATTTCTATAATTAATTTTTAAAAAACGCTAAAAGGCTCCGATTAGTCCACAACGAGAATGGGCCTATATATTTTACGAGCCCAGGCCCAGTTAATGCCACTTTTACTAACCCAGGCCCATTTTACGAGCCCAGGCCCAGTTAATGCCACTATTACGAATCCAGGCCCAGTTATGCCACTTTTACGAGTCCAGGCCCAGCTAATGCCACTTTTACTAGCCCAGGCCCAGTTAATGCCACTTTTACGAGCCCAGGCCCAGACAATGCTACTTTTACAAGCCCAGGCCCAGTTAATGCCACTTTTACGAGCCCAGGCCCAGACAATGCTACTTTTACTAGCCCAGGCCCAGTTAATGCCACTTTTACGAGCCCAGGCCCAGTTAATGCCACTTTTACGAGCCCAGGCCCAGTTAATGCCACTTTTACGAGCCCAGGCCCATTTAATGCCACTTTTACGAGCCCAGGCCCAGTTAATGCCACTTTTACGAGCCCAGGCCCAGTTAATGTAATTTCTGGTAGATAAAGATGCATAGATTCCAACAAATCCAGAGAGAGAGAGAGCTTAGCTTATTCCTGAACTTCTACACCTTCAATCATGCCCGTCTTTAAAACCCCCTTCAATGGCTACTCTGTCAAGTTCAGCCCCTTTTACGAGTCCCGTATCGCCGTCGCCACTGCCCAAAATTTTGGAATCCTCGGCAATGGTCGCCTTCACGTCCTCGATCTCAATCCCGCCGGCCCCATCTCCGAGCACATCGCCTTTGACACCGCCGACGGAGTCTACGACGTCTCTTGGTCCGAATCTCACGACTCCCTTCTTGTCGCCGCCGTTGCCGATGGCTCTGTCAAGCTCTATGACCTCGCTCTTCCTCCCACATCTAATCCCATTCGATCCTTCCACGAACATACTCGTGAGGTTCACTCTGCTGACTACAACCCTGTTCGTCGCGACTCCTTTTTGACTTCCTCTTGGGACGATACCAGCAAGCTCTGGACCCTTGACCGTCCCACCAGCGTCCGAACCTTCAAAGAGCATGCCTATTGCGTCTATTCTTCGGTATGGAACCCTCGCCACGGCGATGTGTTCGCTTCAGCCTCTGGCGATTGCACCGTACGCATCTGGGATGTGCGTGAACCAGCCTCCACCATGATAATTCCAGCTCATGATTTCGAAGTCCTATCTTGCGATTGGAATAAGTACGACGATTGTTGTATTGCTACGGCTTCGGTCGATAAATCGATTAGGGTATGGGATGTGAGGAGCTACAGGACCCCGGTTTCAGTTTTGAATGGGCATGGATATGCAGTTAGGAAAGTGAAATTCTCCCCGCATCGGCAGGGTTTGCTAGCGTCCTGCTCGTACGATATGACTGTGTGTTTGTGGGATTACATGATGGAGGATGCTCTTGTTGGGAGATATGATCATCACACTGAATTCGCCGTCGGAATTGATATGAGCGTGCTTGTCGAGGGGCTGCTTGCTAGCACTGGATGGGACGAACATGTTTTTGTATGGCAGCATGGGACTGATCCAAGAGCCCCCTGAGAAAGGAAAGATTTTGCTACTTCTGAAGAATTTATGAATTTTATCATGTTACAGTCCATAGATTTTAAGTGAATAAGTCATTTTAGTGTTACAAAAAATGAAAATGCACTACTTGTTGGCAGAATGTATGTTCGTTCAAGATTGAACCGAATGTATTATTATAGTCATTTTCTTTGTTCAAGATTGAATATAAGCTTCTTTTTCTCTGGAACTTCTATTCCTTGGGCCTAGTCTTTTACGCCATCTCTGACATTGTGAAGGGATTAGTATGTGACGGTGAGTATATTCCATAGTTTTTAAGTCCTATTATCTTCCTGCTACAGTAGTAAGTGAACTTTGCCTTTTCGTGAGGCTCCTCTTTTGTGGCCATCTTATTTGCTCTAGGGTCGTTGCCCTGTAGAGATTATATTGACTGTACTCCTAGGTTGCTTGATTTCCATGCTTGTCTGAACATGAGGTAGACAACCTACATGGATGCCAACTTGAAATTTCTGGTATAAATCATTGGGTACATCATTTCAGCTGGAGGAGGGATCAGGACAAGAAAGTTAGAATAGGAGCTTAGCTGTATTCGGGCTATTCTAGAACAAGATAGGCAATTCACTGGTTACTGGTTGTAAAATCACCAACTAGACCAGCTGTTTTAGATACGTCCCGTGTTTATCTACTTACGTCAGTGTATCCATGTGTGTCATATAATTGCGATCATTAGATACGTCCCGTTTTTGGCATTTCCTAATCCATGGAAACCAAATTTGTGAACCGTTTTTGGCATTTCCTAATCCATGGAAACCAGATTTGTGAACTGTAGATGCATGATGTAGGAAATCTTGTATCTGTGAGCATGACTCAATTAGTTAAGACATGTTGTTGAACTCTCAATAATTGTGCAACTGCACCCTGCCTGTTTGAATCCAGAATGGTATTCATCTTGATTCTTAGATTGTGTCTGGAACATGTCACTGTAACTATACTGCAGACACTTGCATATGCGTATGAATACCATCTTTAGATCAAATCATCCTATTGAAACTCCCTTCTGTATAGTATCATTTGAGGAACTTGATGCATTTCGACACTGACGTGTGCCTAAAAAGATACTTGGGATAAAAAATTTCATTCAACGGTCTAACCTTCTGGTCTGTTTTGTATACTTTGATTGACTGTTGTTTCTGGTTACATCGAGTCTTGATAAGTGGACTGCAGGCAGACTTTTGTGATAGGAGGAAACCGCTATCCTGTAAAGATGTGTAAAATTCTAGAATATGAAACTGCGAAATGTTTCTTGCAGAAAGGAATGGTTCCTGGCATGCAGGATACTGGGAAGAGCTCTGCAGAAATTTGTTGGGAACCTCAATCTTGTTACACAGCAGTCAGCAGAAAGGATAGAGAGAAACTGTGCAACCCAACAGGCTTGCCATTGCATGTCTCATGCTGGCTCATGAACGCCCTTGCTTCACTCACAGTTCCATCAGTTGTTAACTGGAAGAGCACTAAGCCATCTAGTCAGTGAGCCATTAGTCATTACCCCTTGCGCTTTTCCCTGCCTCTCATCTTGTCTGTCTCGATTCTCTGTGGCCTATAGTTCTAATTCTAGTCGAACTTGAAAAACTTGTTCCAAGGGTGTACTGAGATCTGATTAAATCATCAATCTTTTGATTCAATACATTCTTCTTTTCCTATTTTTTTAATTTCATGCCTAGTTTCTTAAAATGTCAATTTTAAGAGGCTTGAAAGGAGCGAGGAGGGCCTACATATGTGCCATATATTTTGTCCCGTAGAGGCCATCACACTTTTTTTTTAAAAGAGATTGCTTTATTGATGGAACACACAAATGTAAGAGATTACTTTATCGATGGAACACACCAATGGAGATGGCTACATTAGGAACAAATTACAAATCTATGATTTCGATTCTCTATAAAGGACCAGAAATGTCTTGCTTACGTACCATTGGGAAGTGCATTAACATAAATACGGCAATAAGAAGAGGTAATACAAAAGTGTGTAAACTATAGAAACGAGTCAAGTCTATCTCTAGCAGATATTATTCTTTTTGGATTTTTCCTCTCAGGGCTTCCCCTCAAAGTTTTTCGTCTATTAGGAAGAAGTTTTCACACTTTTATAAAAAAATGTTTAGTTCCCCCACTCCAACCGATGTGAGATCTCACAATCCACCCACCTTTGGGGTTAGCAACCTTGCCGGCACATGTTTCTCCTTGGAGGTGGGATCTCGCTATAATAGAGTCATTATAATCAGCAGAGCAAAACAAGTTAGATCGAGAGGACCAAGAGGCCGCTAGAATGCAAATATCTTCCTTTAACGTGGATTTTAATGGCCCTTCGTTTGTCCGTCCATGATTCTACTAAGAGGAGGTTTCTTTTTTATTGCGAACAAGTTATCTAATATCAGTGTGACAGAAAGATTCAAAACTGCAAATGCCATGCCACTGGCACTGGCTTCTCTTCTTGAGCTGTAAGGTTAGCATCTAGAGGGCTCTTACATGTCCTCATTCTTGTTCAATGCAGCGTTTTCTATGTATCTCAACAGTAGGGGGGGTGGGAAAACAATAAAAGCAGACAAAGAGACAAATGCATAAAGAGAAAGCGAATGGGGCATGGCATTGTCGCAGGTAATCTACTGATGGGGGCAACTCAATGGATCCCATATTGATGAAGTTCAGCTCGTGGATGACGTAGGAGGTCTGCAGAATTATTAAAGTGAAGAATATGCAATGAGTTACATTATGAGTGTTGTTTGTCTGCCATACATGCAATGAATGCCAAAACTCAAAATGAATTCAAACCCAAACGGCTGCAAAAGTTCTTCCCTTTTTTTCTCTCTGTCCCTCAAACTATTATTGGGTACAATTATCATGGCCAGCTGATTTTGCAATAGGAGACCACATTGTTATTATCATCATCATCATCATCTTCTCTGCAACTCAACCAACAACTTCACTTCACTTCACTTCTCTATCCTTATGGCTTTGTGTATAATATGTGTATATGACATCACACAGGTAGCATTCAAGAAAGGGAAAGTTCAGTGGTGATTTCTTTATTACTATTACTCTTTGTGTGGCTCAATCCCAGCTGCAACTCTGGCTCCCATTCCTCTCTCAACTTTCTTATCTTTCCATGACTTCCCGTTGGATCATTCATTCTTCTCATCTTCCACGCCCTTTCTCCTAAGCTACTCCATCTACCCTTTTGCTCCAAAACTTGGCTACATCCAAATACCAAACGGATAAACAAGCAAGAGAAAGTACATTCAAAAGTTTAAAAGTGCCGATACCTGTAAGGCCTGCCATGATAGGGTGCAAAAAGTGTTGTTCTAGCAGTTCCAAAGTGGGAATGGAGATGCCTTGTGAGTACTGGATGGCAGCAAGAATGGCGGGTTGGTTGTTGGAGCAATAAGCTCATGATGCCATTATTACTGCTATTGAAGTATCCTCCATGCCCATGCATCACCCCATTGCATGCTTCTCCTATAACTATTACATACAAAAACAAAACTTTTGAAAAACCCTAAATCCGTAAAGATATGAGCTTTGTTAAATAAAACCCTAATCTGTACCTTGCCCAGTTTGGTCAAGCTTCTTACTTCGATACATCTGAAAAGGCAATGCGTGTGTGGGTAATTAGGGTTAGGGAAAGTGAAAACTCATAAAAAGTTTTGATTTTTACAGTACCTGTAAATGGCTCTTGACATGGGCAATGCTTAGTCCTTTCACATTCATCAGCTGAAGAACCAACTTGGGTGTTGCTCCTACAATTAACACAAAGATTTGAACTTTATAACTATTTTGGATTAAGAGACTAAATTTACACAAACCCTTTTGAAATTGTTGAAAGAAGAGAAAGATTAATACTCTCTTGGCCACCAAGCCTTTCAACAGCATTCACAAAATTGAGATGAAGCTCAGGAGTCCAACGTAGACGAGGCACTTTTGATCTAACATACTGTCTCACTGTTGTCCTCCTTGCATTTTCTTCTCTTGATGAGTTATTAGCATTCTGAATTGAAGTGCTTCCATATTTTTTTCTCTCTTCATTTTGCTCAACTATTACATTAGTGTCATCATCACCATCTTCAACTTCAACCCTTGCCTCTTCATTCAAATCAATCAATGAGCATTTTCTTGATGACAATGGATCGAACTTCTCTTCGGCTCGGCTCGCGCGCCTTTCATCGGTCCCGTCCCGCTTCCGTCGATCTCGAAAATTCAATAATAGATTGCTGCAATACTGACAAGAAAAGGGTCTAAAAGGGTAAGATTTTAAGGGGAAAAGGATCATGATTCAGATCATCTACATAAACATATCAAGAACTGTTTTAAGTATAGAAATTAGGTCTCTTCCATTAAACCTAAAAGCATAAGGTAATAAACAACTTAATCATTTTTTAAAATCTATTTACAAATAAAGCTATGAATATCATGAATTAAAAGAAAGATAAAAATATATATATACAAACCATGAATAGAAGATGATGAGATTGAGCTTGAATAGCTCAAGTTTATGTTCCTCTTGAAAAGGTAATTGAAGAATGAATCAACAAACTTGAAGTCCCCGATCTAAAAGGCTGATTCCCACTTCAAATAATCAACAAAGCTCCACTCCAGTTCATTGATTGGATCAAACTGATGTTTATATTGAGAAAGAGAGAGTTTTGATGATCTGTGAGTTAGGCTTGTTTTTAAAGCAGCAGGTATCATGATTTCATAAGCTATATATTCTTGGACTTTTATTCATGCAAAAACGTAAGAAGCTGACCTTTTTTTTTTTTTTTTTTTTTTTTTTTTTTTTTTTTTCTTTTTGGATATCTCTCCCTCCCCACTTGTGGTTGTAATAATAATCCAATAATGCTAACCAATGGGATTTAATTTCCACAAAAACTGTTGGGAAATATTCATGTGACTGTCCCGCTCTCACCTTAATTGACTGAGTACCTCTGAGCTACAAAGTTGCTCAAATGAACAGAGTAGATTAGATATCCAAACACTCCATATACCCACCATTTTCAATGCCTTCCTACCCAAATTTGGACTTCTTTCACTCTTTTATAACCTCAACAATTGCAAAATGCAGCAAACACAAAAAACTCATGTTTTTTTTACTCCATTTCTTCACAAACTCGTTTCTTCTTTACATGAATATCAAAAACAAAAACATAAAAACAAACCCTTTTGTTGTTTGAACACGTATGTGTATAATAAATAAGGCAAGCCTTATTTATTGGGTTCGTGTGGGTGTGTGAAAGGCAACAATTAAAAAGTACCAACTCCCTTAGCAACAAAAACCTCATAAATTTCTAAAGAATAATTAAAGGTATGCTCTATATGTATAGCAACCCCACACCTATGTCTCCAACCTCCCTAATTCCATTAACAATTCTATGAAATTCTTGCGTTACCATCACACATTTACATGGATCTCATTCATTCCCATAACTCCCTTTGGTTTAGTCTTGCAAGAATCAAAATGGGTAGACTCTATTAAGAGTATATTACAATGATTAAACATATTATAATGGAAGACCCTTTTGGATATAACCGTGATTGAATGAGGTATTATCGGTTAAATAAGAAGCTGATAGAAGGGAGCATGGGTTGATTACCTACCCAATTGACTAATAATTATACTCACTTGTTTGTAGGGTAATAATTGGAGGGGAAATAGAAGTAAATGGGTCCATAATTTAATTCTGGTGCAACTATTCTTTACATAATGCTGCAGAATAGCATTATTTATGCTAGTGTGTAGCACCATAATGCTATTTACATATGTATATCTGTAAGAGAATTGGTAGGGTGTGAGGTGAATTATAGGTAGCATGTGGGTTCTACTTTTTGCGTAAGAAAACACATTAATCCTTCATAATTTTAAACTCGAATCCAAAACCATATGGGATCCTTATGATGAGGAGGTGTTATTTAATATAACATGTGATTTGTTTGGTTAGAAGTTAGCCAAAGATTTATTGGTTATAAGTGTGGAGGCCTTTACTAAGAATTAGTATGGCTAAGGTTAGCTGAATAATTGGCATTAGGACACTAATCTCAAACTTTCTTTTCTTCTACTTAGTTCAAGGATAATAATGTTTAGAGATTATTTATTTTTTTCTTAGATCATTCAAACCCAATCTTTTATCATTAATTATGTCTTTGAAATGGTCAAAGTTCACGCGTGTTAGAACAAAAGACCCTACCGTGTGAAAACCTTCCCCTATGTTTTAAAGCCTTGAGGGGAAGCCCGAAAGTGAAAGCTCAAAGAGGACAATATCTGCTCACGGTGGATCTGGGTCGTTACGTTCCACACCCATATAAAGAACCGACGTGGGATCTCACAATCCACCCCCCTCTTCTTCGGGACCTAGCGTTCTCACTGGCACACGTTCCTCTCTTTAATTGATATGGGATCTTACAATCTACTCCCTTCAAGGCCCAGCATCCTCACTGGCACACTGCCTAATGTCTACCCCTTCGGGGCTCAGCATCCTCGCTAGCACACTACCTGGTGTCTGGCTCTGATAGATGACATTTATAACAGCCCAAGCCCACCGCTAGCAGATATTGATCTCTTTGGGTTTTCCCTTCGGTTTCCCCTTCTGGGCTTCCCTTCAAGATTTTTAAAATGTGTGTGCTAGGAAGAGGTTGTCACACCGTTATAAGGAGGCGTTTTAAAATCTTGAGGAACGCTCCGAAGAAAAAACCCAAAGAGGACAATATTTGCTAGCGATGGATTTGGATGGTTACATCTTAAAAACTTTGGATTCAAACGAATCTATGCCATAATTGTAAAGATATAGTTTTGTTTCCTGTTGATACAGATAGAGCTGCTCCTTCTTGTTCGTGGAGAGTAAAGAAGGCATATCATAATTGATGGAAGCTACAATTCAGCAGCTAGCTACCCTAAGTCTTCCAATATTTATTATGTGTTAGGGTGAGTACAATTTTCAATTTAATCACATTAAATGATTGATATAAAAGTCAAATCCAGCGTTACAATATTTTATGACTCCATTTTTTTTATAAATTATTCAACATAAGGATCACCATTTTCACAACCAAGTACTTTTCAGTCTCTTTCTTTCTTACAATTATACAGATGATAGTAACGTTATATCAATTACGTTCAAGAATTTCTCCTCATTATTCCTGCCCATCCAGGTTTTTTTCCCTACCTTCTCTTAGTATTAACAACCAACGTGTTGAAACACATTTAAAACCACTACTTTTTATTATCGATATTGATTCTTAAGGTTCCCACGCTTTCCTAGGCTCTCTTTGCTTAAAAGGTTCTCACACTTTCGTAAGCTCACAAGTAAAATTGATCATATCAAGCTTGAATGATTCTACGTGCATTCTAAATTACAAAAAAAAAAAACTTAATCTTTGGCTATAAAAGAAACACAAATGTGAGACATGTAGACACGAGCTTCTCTAAATACTTCAGTGAATCGAATAAAAAGTCGGAAGTTTTTAGTTTTAAAACCATAGTTTTAATAAGAGAGAAGGTATTAAGGGAGGTTGAAGGTAAATCATGAAAATTGTTGGGTTGATGAGTATATTAAAAACACAAAATGTGAGTTGGTGCATGGTATTCATTAAAGTAGGGAAAGTAATAATAATACTATATAATTGAGATTTAGAGATATGCACGTAAGCGGTGATGGCGTGAGCAGTGAGTCGGCCCATTAGGAGGACAAGTGACTGAGGAGTGGAACAGAAGTACTGGGCCTCCTTCACGACAAATATATACCTTAAACCAGATTCAAACACAAGTAGTGTCACCTATTTTGGACCAGCTATCCATAAATTTCTTACCCATATCATTTTAAAATTAAATTAAAATACACCAAATCAATGAACCAACCCTGGAAACTTGAGCCCAAGCCGACCCTAGAATTGGCCTCATTTGGACCTAATTTGAAAACAGTCTACAAAAATGATATTACTTGTTTTACTATTTTACTATTGCTAGCTATCATGTGGAGGTGGGTGTTATTAGCATTGATAAAACATAAGAAATGTCTTTCTTTTTTTAAAAAATATTTTATCATGTGACGAAGATAATTTACCAAAATTTACTACTTTTCAAGAAGTAATTATCATTCATTAGATAAGGAAACAAAATTCCAAATCCTATTTTGAATTAATCATTGCAAAAAAAAAGGTAACGAGTCCCAAAGCATAAGAGAAACAACAAAGCAAACCATAAAATTTAGTAAATTCCTTAATGACTAAGAGATACAACTAAGTAGCGATGTAAAAGAGACAGGTATTTTTGTGTGCGTGGGCAGAGGGCAGAGTAATGTAATCGGCAGAGATGAGAACTAAGCAGTGGTTTGATGTGGGCAGATACCCATTCTACCGTGCCTTCGATCGCTTCCTTTTCCCCACTCCCGCACACATAGATGAAGTTTCTTGCTGAAGGCTAAGAGTGTCACCGTCTGCAACGGTCTCAGAATCTCGGTCAGCTCAATCAGCGTACGAATCCTGAGTTCGTCCGCTTCCTCCAAGATTCTGAGCATCTCCCCGTCCTGTTTTTCCAGAGCTCTCTCCAGCTCCTCGCTTACCTCCTGCTCTCTCACTGATCTCATCGCTATCCCCACCACCGTCTGGTCGGCTATCTCCTCCTGGAGTCTCGCAAGCTCCGACGTCAGCCTCTCCTCTTCCTTGATGGTTCTCTTCTGCAGATTCTCTAGCTGCTCCATTTGCTGGGGCGACAGATCTCCCAATTCATCTACCGATTTCATCCGCTGCCGGAACTGGAGGAGTCGCGTTTCGAGATCGAGGCTTGTGAGGGAGTAGGCCAGGCGGATGAAGAGGGAGGGGCGACATCCCGCGATCCATAGGAGAGAGGTTTCTCTAGCGGTGCACCAGACAGGGGCGAAGTATGCGGACACGTCTTTTTTGGCTAGCTGGGTTCGTCGATCAATGTAATCTTGGAACCGCTCGATGTTCTTGTCGATGAGGTTGATGAGTTGGCGTTCGGTTTCTTGTGGGTCGGAATTTACTCTGCTTTGGACGCCGTCGAGGGCTTCGAAAAGCTCCCTCTGGCCCTCCTCTTGGAGCTTCATCCAGTCCTGGAAACAGCGGTTGGATTCAGCGTGGTCGCTGCTGCTCCCACTTTCCGCCATATCTCACGAACCTAAAGCGCTCTGTTTCATTTATTTATACATCTTAGCGAAACACGAAAAAGCATGGCATGTGTTGGAGAGCAGGAGACGTGCCCTCAAATCCTCCCGTCTTCATATTTGTAATAAATTAAATTATAAATTTATTTGGATTCATACATATAAAACCCCGAAATTCCATGAAAGTTGGGACATCAAAACGTTAATTGCATATGAATGTTTAGATGGAGGATGAATAAATTTCTATATGGATAAATGAGGCAGCAAAAAGACAACGTGTCTCTCTAGAGGGATCCTTAACACAGAAGGAAAAAAACTACATTGAGAATTCCGAAGTGTTCATATTGTGTTCCATTCCCCCCCTCCCCCTCTGAAAGTTCGAAAAGGGAAAAGAAATAAAAACAAAACCTTTGATTTGGTGCATCGGGCGTTGGCGTGTGACGTTTATCGATGTGAAGTAGGCGCATCGAAGTCGGAGATTGCTTTTCGCTCACCCTTCCTCTCTCTCTCTCAATAGGTTTGTGTTGTGGATCCTGAATGTGGCCACATATTCCACATGAATACATGCGTACAACCAACATTTAATTTTGGCCCACCCTCCCATTTATAATACTGTCAAATAGGTTAGGGTTATTATATGATATGATATTGTTCATTTTAATCTAAAGTACCTCACTTTTATATAATGTGTGATTTTCTTTTTACTTAGTTTTTCTACTTAGTTTATCTTTTAATTTGTTTGGTAAAATTTGTATGATAAATTCTAATTAAAGTTCGGAGGAAATGGCTTGAAAGAGTCTCGAAGAAGCATTTAAATTTGGCAGATCATGTAGTTACCCTTTCAAATCTTTATGCTACACGAGTGGTAAAAATAAAACGTCTTCCATTGTCTACAAGTAAATTTGGGTAAATAAAGGAAAGTATTAATTTTGCAAATATTTTAAAATTCATGTCTAATGGGTTCTTAATATAACAAAATCAAAATTTAATTAAAAGTTTGAAATTGCATGGATACTAAAGAAAATACATTTTTTAAAAAATTAAGAAAACAGAATTAAAATGAAATGGGGAATTGGGAGAAGAAAAAATGAGGGAAGGGTAATTAAATAAGGACGTTACAGATTCAAGTCTACAAGTAAATTAAATTTCAGAAATTAATCATAATTAAGACCGGTGTGCTGTCATATCAGAGGTATGATGGTTTAAGAATAAACCCTAAACCCGACACAGAAAAAAACACTAATTAATGCTATTTTAAGATATCACATAAATAATAACCATCATACTTACTTTAATCCTCGTCCTTACTTGTTTTAATAATAATTTTGTTTCGAGTTAACCATAGTTTTGTATTGTTGTAAATATTATATGTAGCAGTGGAATGAATGGAGCCAAAAGAAGCTCAACTCACAATATTATATGGAGCCTAAATTTGGTAGCGAAATAGACCGTCTTTCCTTCCTTCCTTCCTTCCTTGAATCAAGATGGTACCAAAAATTATGAATTGATATCAATTTGAAAGTGATTTTGGCAACATCCTAAAAACCATTCTTAATCAATCAATCACTACAAGATTACATGTATTGTATCACACGTTGAAGATTGCATATGAACATCTCAAAATTACCATTCTTTTTCTTTGTAATCTCCGCGATGAATCCAAATTTTCTCAACAGAGGCACAACCACACAGAAGAACAATGGAAATAAAAGAGAGAAACAAAAAAGAACAAAATGAACAAGTTATGTTATCATACATTAGATGAGATGGGGATGGGGTTGGGGTTGGGGTCTTTGTTGGTTATAGCAGAGGAGAACGATAGGTCAGAGAGAGTGAAGAGAAAAGCGTACCCTTTTCTTCTTTAAATGAAAATCTCTTCATTCGGTATCTGATGGTATATGTGATGATGGAGCGGCAGCAGAGTCCTCCACCTCCACCTTCAAATTCAACAATGCCGGTTTCAATTCCTCGTTACAGAACTGTTCATACTCTGCTTTATCTCCCCCTTTCCTCTTCACCTCCACCATCACTAATTTCTGCGTCAACTCGAATACCTCTGCTGCGATCGTCAATGGCCCTTTTACTCCTTCCCGCGACCCTTCTAAACTCACTCTGCAATCCTTCTTCCTCACCGTGAAACTCACCAATTTTGCGATCTCCTCCAATTTCGATATGATCTTCGACACCGGCGCACTGGACACAAATCTTGCCTCTTCCCCTCCGTCCTCAAACAACCCCGAAAGATCAAATCCAGGCGAGAACGAAATGATGTCAAATGCATTCAAACTCGCCGGTCTTGGGAGTGTACTAACCTTTCTTCTGGTCTCAATTATTTCGGAATCCGATTCGGATTGAGATTGATCCGACGAGGAATCGATAATATCGACATCGTTTTGGTCGTCCTCAACGCTGCAAACCTTATCATCTTCGATGTAGAATTTGATATGCTTGTAACCCTTTTTGAACCATCTATTCTCCATGATTTCTGGAATTGTGAAACGGGTTTCGGGGTTTGTGTCCAAAAGACGAGATAGGAGTCGAATTAGCTCCGGGGAAAACCATCTCGGACAACGGAACTCACCCCTGTAAATCTTCTTATACATTGCCATAATATTTTGGTCGTGGAAGGGCAGATAGCCGGCCATCAGAACAAACAGAATAACCCCACAGGACCAAATATCTACCTTTGCGGCCTCGTACCCTTTCCGGGTCAAAACCTCCGGAGCAACATACGCCGGTGTACCACAAAAAGTATGAAACAACCCATCTTGTCGAATTTGGTCGGACACGGCACTAAGGCCGAAATCGGAGACCTTAAGATTCCCATTTTCATCCAGCAACAAATTCTCCGGTTTAAGGTCGCGATGAAAAACACCGCGCGCATGGCAAAAGGCAACGGCGGAGATTAATTGCTGAAAGTACTTCCGAGCAACCTCTTCCTTCAATCGGCCCTTGGAGACCTTCTTGAAAAGCTCGCCGCCGCGTACATATTCCATAACGAAGTAGATCTTGGCCTTGGTGGCCATAACCTCAAAGAGTTGGACGATATTGGGGTGTCGAACGCGGCGGAGGATAGAGATCTCGCGTTTGATGTGGGCGATTAGACCACCCTTGAGGATCTTCTCCTTGTCGATAACTTTAATGGCGACACTTTGGTCGGTTTTAATGTTCCGGGCATGGTAGACCTTAGCGAAGGTGCCGTGACCAAGGAGCTTCCCGATCTCGTATCGGCCCAAAAGAAGAGCCGGCATGTCCTTCTTGGTAGTCTCGGTCTTCTTGTCGGTGTCCGGCCGGTCGGCCATAGATGGACACAAAATCAAGGAAATAAAGGAAAACGCAAGACTGATTTGGAGGCTAATCTAATGCGGTGGCATTAAAAAAGATGGCAGCTTTTTTGGGATGATTTTTCTTTTTGCTGGATTTGGGTTCCGAGAGGAGGTTTGAGCGTGAAACGATAAAGTTGATGTTTTTTCTTCTGATTTTGGCGAGAGAGAGAGAAAGAGATTGCGATTGTGGGTATATACACCATTACATTATAACTTCGCTCCTCTGTTTCTCTGTTTCTCTGTTTCTCTCTCTAGCCCTCTCTTGTCTCACCCATTTTCTGAATATTCATCGCCACGTATCATAAATCTTATTTATTACTATTTATTTCTATTTCAAAATGAAGCTTTGTGCCACAATTCAATATTTTAATTCATTTATTTACGAAAATTACCCATTTAAACACAACAAATCCTCCCTATTTCCTTTTATATGATACACAAATTTGAAAATATAATTAATACAAATGCAATGAATCCTGAAACAGTGGGGAAAATAATAATTAATGTTATATATTTAAAAATAATAATAATAAGGTTAAAAGACAGAGACACGCGGCAGAGTTTGAGGAGAAACAGAGGGTACAGCTGTAATTAAAATACGGAAAACACAAGTGGGCCCCAAGCAAACGGTAAACATTTTTTTTGTGTGGCCAGTACACTTTTGAATTAGATGGCGCTGACGTGTCTTCATGGCCCACACGTCCCCACTTCAAAATCCGTTGCAACTCGGTGCTCCTCACGTCCAACCTGGTGTCACAATACAGTCGGTAAGCGTGACCGTGACATTTGGCACCATACTTTTTCAAATGAGTATTAATTATTTTTTAAGTAAAGAAGAATTAGACAATTAACAAAGATATAAAAAATATTTCCATTAATGTTTGAAAATGAAGTATTAAACCCATATTTAGCTAAATTTATAAAACTGTACTAAATAAAAGAAACACTTCAAATTTTAAAATAGTATTCCACGGACGAGTTGAGTGGGTTCCGTTCTATGGAGGTCAAATAATGTTAAAATGGAAAAAGTAAGAGATAACGTGGGGTCCGGCACCGGCAGGGGAAGAAGAGGCGAGTCCACACGATGGACGGTGGTAGTTCGTTGACACGCAAAGGTATTGATAAGAACGCTGTGAAACACGCAGTTCCAGATATTGGCGCCCCCAAACCTTTCGGATTGTTGCACGCCAAAGAGCGGTGACGCCGACGCGTGAGCCCTAAAGGTGGCAACCATTCGAAATTAGAAAATGATCTTTCAACGCATCCTGGGGGCACTACTACTACTATTACTTATTCCGTTTTGTCATTTATTTCCAAATTTTATAATAAATTGCTTCTAATTTAATTAAATACAATATCGAATTTTCCTTTCATAAATAAAGCTTAAGATTTAAGAGTACATTAAAGTTCAATTCCAACTAAGATAACCGCCCAACCACCTACCAACTTATTAATCCAATAAATTAATTAGATTATTTGACAATTTTAACGTTGCTTTCATCTTTATAGTAATCTTTCTCAATAACATTTGAACTTTTGGTATTTATATACTTATGACTCAATTTAATTGGGACAGATGGGTTTTAGCTTGCCGAATTAATAATTAAATAATATTTTTTAAAATTACAAATTTGGTCAAATTGGGGCTTCATTGATTATGGGCCTCAACCCCAAAAT